AATGAACTAAAATTTATCTGCAGGGTGCAGTGGCTCATNTGGCTCGGTGCAGTGGCTCATGCCTGGAATCCCAACACTTTGGGAGGCCAAGGTGGGCAGATCATGAGGTCAGGAGATCGAGACCATTCTGGCCAACATGGTGAAGCACGATCTCTACTAAAAATATAAAAATTAGCTGGGTATGATGACACGCACCTGTAATCCCAGCTACGTGGGAGGCTGAGGCAGGAGAATGGCTTGAGCCAGGGAGGCGGAGAATGCAGTGAGCCAAAATCATTCCACTGCACTCCAGCCTGGCAACAGAGCAAGACTCTGCCTCAAAAAGAAAATTTTTTTTGCCCAGGCTGTTCTCAAACTCCTGGGCTCAAGCAATTTTCCTACCTCAGCCTCCTGAAGTGCTAAGATTAGAGGCGTAAGCCACTTTTACCTGGCCAGATTTGTCTATAAGGTTTTGTTAAGAACTGGATTTAACATCAATATAATACACTAACACAAAGGTGAAATTTGGCTCTCTTGAACAAGATATTTGTGTAATTTTTTTTTAAATGAAAGGTTTTTGCTTGCCTTTTGAATAAACTACAGAAAAAAGAATGAAACAAAAGAGAGATTATTTGGAAAGCTAAGTCTTCACTCTATCAATGAACAAAGGTTTCTCTCTCTCTTCTTTTTTTTTTTTTTTTTTCTTAACAGAGTCTTGCTCTGTTACTCAGGCTGGAGTGCAATGGCATGATCTTGGTTAGCAGCAACCTCTGCCGCCCTGGTTCAAACAATTCTACTACCTCAGCCTCCTGAGTTGCTGGGATTACAGGCATGCACCACTACGCCTGGCCAATTTTTTGTATTTTTAGTAGAGATGGGGTTTCACCACATTGGCCAGGCTGGTCTCGAACTCCTGACCTTGTGATCTGCCCACCTCGGCCTCTCAAAGGGCTGGGATTACAGGCATGAGCCACCATGCCTGGCCAGGTTTTTCCGTTTTTAAAATCTTCGAGTTATCATTTTGGCTAAATAAATGACTTATGGTGTGCTGGGATTCTATTTTATATCAAGCATTTTAAACCTTTGATATTTGAAAACTTTCCAAAATCAAATTATAAATTACCTTTTTCTGACCTCATTAAGCCTTTAGATATTAGGTACCCTAAAGTCCAAAAGAGACACACTTGGCTTATTTTGTATATTAAAATCATACAGAAAGCACTGTCAAATACAAAATAGCATTTGGCTTTCTTTGGGCTGTATTTGTATAAATGTGCTATTGGTATGTTTTCCAAAATTACGCTATACTCCTATAATACTGATATGATTTAGTGCACATTATCAGTAATAATTATAATTTTTTTTTTAGAGGCAGAGTTTTACTATGTTGGCCAGGCTGGTCTTGAACTCCTGACCTCAAGTGATCCACCGCCTCAGCCTCCCAAAATGCTGGGATTACAGGTGTAAGCCACTGCACCCAGCCAATTTTTTTGTATAATTGTTGTATGCCACAGAAGTAACCTTGACTGCTGTAAGACTTTTTGTCCTCTACAGACAATTGTTGTCTTGTTTTGATCCTCTTTAAAGGGTGGATATAATCAGCTATAGGACTCTGGTGAGTACTCTTAAATGCAGGTCTTTGATACTTTTGGAAACTGTGCCATTAAAATAGAAAAGAACTTCAAAGACTCTTGGAAAAGTAATGTATACATAAATGTTGAGTGAAGCAGGAATTGCACAGACTGAAATAAGAAAAGATGAAAATAATCTTTTTATAACTTTTTGCCTAAAATATTGCTGATCCTTTCTGTCTTTTCAGATTCAAGAAAACTTTTCTCTTGAGCTATTTACAGTTTTTAACAATTAAGTAAAATATATTCCTATAAACAAAATTTGGAACATATTCTTTTTCTCTACCTCATTTCTCCCAAATTTGGAAACTGTAAATATTCTTAACTTATGGCAGTATAATTATTTGCACAAGTGCAGTCAGAATCTGTTCTCTTTTGTAACAGGACACCACTAGAGACAATGGTTATTTTACTAAGGCTTTGACTGGAATGGCATACATTCAGGTACAAAAAGACTACTTATAAGGAATCAAAGTTGACTTACAGACTCAGAAAAAGCCCCCTGGGAAAACTGGCCTCATGCCTTGTCTATGCAATCCTTGTACAGGGATCCTGACCTGTGGTAAGAAGAATGTCACTTTCTAAAGAACGTCACTTT